TACAATATAAATGCTGTTAAGAATAACTGTTGCCACGTTTTCTATCACATGTGAAGTTCATGCCATCTGAGATGGTAGTGACATTCCAGTGAGAGAGTTCACCATGACAGAAAAAGGCAGAAATACACACACACACACACACACACACACACACACACACACACACACACACACATTAGAAGCAGTATGGAAAAGCCACAATAAACAAGAGAGTAGGGAGAAATTATCTACCAAGAATTCTAAGGGGCTGTTTTGATGGGGTTCTGTGGACAGTCAGAGGTTTCAATGTCCTAGTGCCCTAGACTACAATTGTAGTCAAGTTTGTTACAGCTGACTCCTTCTGATGGAACAGTTTTTCTTAGTGACTTCCCATCCTGCCCTGGGGTAATAACAGCATGTTCTTGCAATAAAATAGTTCAACATAGCCTAAAATGGCATTCCCAGGGCAAACGCCTATATGAAGCACTTTTAGTCTACAAATGGTGTCCGACACCAAATAGAATCAGAAAAAAAAAAAATCTGTACTAGTGAAGTTTTTCACCAACTAAGCAAGTAGAAAGCAACAAAGTCAACCAAACATCCCTGTGGGAATTGGAATTACTATTTTAAAAAGCTATAAATTTGCTGGGCGGTGGTGGCGCACGCCTTTAATCCCAGCACTCGGGAGGCAGAGGCAGGCAGATCTCTGCGAGTTCGAGGCCAGCCTGGGCTACCAAGTGAGTTCCAGGAAAGGCGCAAAGCTACACAGAGAAACCCTGTCTCTAAAAAAAAAGGCTATAAATTTGTTTTACATACAAATACTGGTGAAATTTTTTGATAAAAAAAAAATTACTTAAGGTCTAAAGCACATGTCCCTGAGATTCCTTAACTAACTGTGTCATTATCCATGTTTTCATGGCATGGGAAGAGCTTAGCATCTATCTGACGGCCTCAGATAAACATTTCCAGCCCTTCTAAAAAGCTGTGTGTGCATAGTAATAGCTGTAAAATACTAGCAATGTTGTAAGAAACTTGAAAATTTGAGTCAGAGGGGAAAAAATGAAAAAATTTCTAAGTCTTAAATATTTGTTAACAATTGCAAACACAGGAAAACTCTTAATTAGCAAATACTGGTGGAAATTATTGTTTTTGTTGGCCTACTCCAAAGAATGAAAAGCTCCCAAGAACCAAGGTGGCCTGGAAACACTGCTGTACTCGGACTGAGAAAACCTTTTCAAATGCAAAAATGTTTCCAGTATCTGATGCCCTGTAGCCCACAGGTAAAAGCATACGTATGTGGAATAAAAAATGACCAAACTTTTATACAGATTTCTATGAAGGAACAGAAGGATGAGTTATTCTGTATGATTATTCTTTGAGCACAAGGGTTACAAAGGGCGTTTTAGAAGGAGGAGTAGCAATGTGCAGTGTTACTTGGAAATAAATATTCACGAAAATCCTAGCATGCGTGGGGAAGGATCCCTGAGATCCCACCCTTGGTGAAAGAGCTACTATAGCAGTTAATGGCTGGGTGCTGTGGGAGAGCCACTCTCCTTTGGGGACATAACTACGAGAAGATTGTCAGTGCCCCAGGGGATGGTCCCCATATCCACGCTGACATGGGAAGCACTAATTAGACCAGAGAGCTGTCAATAAAGAACATAAAAAGAGGTCATGAAGTCGAGTGAGATGGTAGGGGGTACTGGGAGTGTTAGAGGGAGATAATGGTGTATAGATATGATTAAAATGCTTAAGTTTTTAAAGAATAAATTAAAAGTATTATTTGAAAAAGTATTTGCTTTCAAAAGAGGAAAGTTCAGTGTGTGTGTGTGTGTGTGTGTGTGTGTGTGTGTGTGTGTGTGTGTGTGTATCTAGCAAAACACTGGCTAACAGACTTAGGTACCACTTGTCCTAAAGTGCTTGGGACTTGAAGTGCTGCAGTTACAAATTACATCAAACGCCGAGTTAAAGTGAACATATTAGAATGATTACTAACCTACTTAGAAACAAAACCAACTCCAGGCATTCACACTCACAAAACAATAGTTGATTACCTGCTTCCACATACACCTTGTTGAAAAATACCTCACACTGCTGTGACCACGGTAAATTTTAAGTAGGGTACACCTTCCTCTGAGGTCTTCTTGACACTTTTACTTCTCCAGTCCCCCCAAAAGAATGCAGTGTTACAGATGAGATCATTTGAGTAAATGTAGGCCACAATGGCAGGAGGCCTCATCTACAAAGAGCCCTGTCGTCTGTCACGTGATGGGCAAAGTTTACACGATCCACAGACACAGGCTCAGTTAAGAGAGCAGAAGTAGAGCATGAGTGAGTGATTCTGTACTGCGAAGGAGAGAGAATGGAAGGACGAACAAGCAGGCTGGACTAGGATGAAGACAGCTTTATGACAAGTTGAGACATTTCACTTCCTGATCCCTCCCCCAAAAACAATAATAGAAGATGATTTTTAAGAAGTTTAAGACAGCCGGGCGGTGGTGACGCATGCCTTTAATCCCAGCACTCGGGAGGCAGAGTCAGACAGATCTCTGAGTTCGAGGCCAGCCTGGTCTACAAAGCGAGATTCAGGACAGGCACCAAAAACTACACTGAGAAACCGTCTCAAAAAAACAAAAGAAAAAAAAAAGATGCTTAAAATGTCCTCAGTCACTACCCTATTGAATAGGACTTACAAAACAAACAAAAGCTGCTTCCCCACCCCACCCCACCCCCACCCCCAATCTCAAAAGTTTTAAGTTAAAATTTGTATCTTCTCTACAAATAAGCGCTGGCCATTAGCAGGCTTTTCACTGTCTATTGCCTCTCACTAATACCCTGTGCTAATAACATTATACCCTTTAGGCTGAGCTTCAGCACACTCTCAAATTATTACCAAATTATTACACTTGTTCATCTGTCCAGAAACGAGCATTTGCTTTCAAAAATGGAAGAGCCCATTTCTTAATTTATGATTAGTATGCGTGTGTTATATTTGCACATGTACATAAAGTGTATGTGGGTGCACAGGGCACAGCTCACCTGCGGAGGTTGGAGAACAACTTATAAAATCAGTTCTCTCTTTCTGCTTTCACGTGGGTTCCAGGAACCAAACTCAGGTCACTATTTGTCCTGGTTAGTTTTTATTGTCAAGTTCATATATAATCGAGTCACCTGGAGAGAGGGGGTCTCATTGGAGGAATTGTCCAGACCAGACTGACCTGAGACCATGACTGTGGGAACTGTCTAGATTGCTGATTGGTGGGGGAGAGCTTGGCCCACTGTCGTATGCAGTACTGCCACCGGGGAGGTGGGCCTAGGCAGTAATAAGATAGATGAGTCTGGGTTACCTCACTCAGGATGACTTTTTCTAGATCCATCCATTTGCTTGCAAACCTCATGATGTCATTGTTTTTCTCTGCTGAGTAGTATTCCATTGTGTATATGTGCCACAATTTATTTATCCATTCTTCAGTTGAAG